AAAAGGTAGATCCGTGAGACACGAGGTGACAACTCCCTTGTGCAGAGCTCAAATAGATGGTCAAACGCTGCGGCTGGGTTCAGGAGCGTGGCAACGGAAATGGTTAGGATGGCCAGGTTGCGAACAGGTTCACCAAGTATTTTGGCCTACGAGTGCGTTGTGAGGGGGCAACTAGCAGGACAGAGGCCTCTGCATTAAGATTATCGATGGGCGAAATTTTATAGCAACCCGTGATTGAACGGAGGACAGCGTTTTGTGCTGACTGAAGGCGGCGGAGGCTGCAATAGCTTATCGCAGGAGACCAAATTTCTGCCGCATAAGTGAGGTGCGGCTTGGCCAGCGCTTTTAATGTGGTCGCTTGTAGAGACCCTTGCTGTATCGGTCGAGGGGTGATATGTTCAAGTGGCCCATGGACAGCCAAGAATATTTCGACGCGCCTTTGGAAGTCGGTCAAGGGTCTTAAGTTCAGCGAGCCGAAAACAGCTACCTGCAAAGATGCATGACGCTACGGTAGTGGACACTGAACGAGGCAGTTGGACAGCATTGTTGACTGTCCACCACATTGACAGCCATTCAGATGGTAACTATCGAACACAATTTCTCAAAATGGTCTGCAAGTTGTTTGGTGCAGTCTGTGTGTCTATCCTGTTTGACGAGCACAAAGCTGCTTTTTTGATTTCCCGATTGTACAGAGATGAAAAGTTTCCTAATTTTGACATATCGAGAGGCTAGCTGTGCGCTACACCCTTGGTTATGCGTGTCGATCGTCCGTACAGACAAGTGCCGTGAATACCTACGTTTATGATGCTCCCAACCAATTGTAAACTCCAGTGTTTTTCATATTTTTCGCTTGTAAGGGCGTCATTTTAAGATGGATTTCGCAGGTTTTTTTTACCGATGGTCTTTCCTTGAAAACGTTTCACCCACAGCTGCGGATTTATCCTCTTTTTGTTAGTTTACAGAGACAGTAAAGCCCATCGCGAATTTAAACGGATTTTCACTGCGAGGTTCTAGAACGAGTATGCTTCTGATCAAATAGTAATAGTATTTGGGCAAATGACATTAGCTGAGTCCCCAGCTTTTCAAAGTTTTCTCTGTTTATGTGTCTAGCAACGACAACATCACCGTCAATACCAGTGCTCTGGCTCTGATAGCTGATTCCCTGCTGCGAGAACCCATGCAGCCCTCCGAAGAACTTAATCTGCGACCTTACTTGGCTACGACCACTGACAAAGCTGACGACGCCCTCTCCCAACGTCTCATCCCACCGTCGCTGAGTGAAGAGGAGCAGTTGAAGATGTCTGCGGGAATGCATGGGGAGCACTTGGATGCCCATTTGACCCCAGCTGAACGGAAGGCCCTTTTGGCGGCTGAAGCCGACTCCTCCAAGCGTACGCCCCTGCGTATAGGCCACCGTCGTCAACCGCACCCGAACGACATTTTCTTCCTCAGGGTAGGTTAAACCGCGGTAATA